TGTTTATTTCTCATTTTTCTGAATTATTAAGGTTTAAAAAAAATTATAGTGTTCCATTTTTTTATTTTTTTTTTAGTTCAAAACGTCCGGCAAGTATTAACAATTAAGAATCTCAATAGCAAATCGAGGTGGTTCAACATAATAGAACTACAAATATTGCGATCTCTCCCTCCAACATGATCAAAGTCTGTAGGTGTACGATGCTCCTTTCATTTCTCTTTGGCAGATTCTCGGAGACAAGAAACTTGGTATCTCTTGCAAGATTACGATTTTTAACAATCGAGTTTAATCTAATTTCAAGGGTCCTTCTCGTTGTTTGATTTAAAAATAATTAAAATTACTATTTTGGTGTAAATTTGGAGGCTAAAACCGTAATATTGGTGTAAAGCCAAAAACTGGAAAAGTGGAAAGTGAAATTTGTTAACTGTTCGTCGTTCACAGTTGAGCTGCCAAAGACCTTTTCTTATCCATTCAAAGTTTTAATTTTTTATTTTTATTTTTATATTTCCTTTTTTTTTAAATGTATGTTGAAAATTAATCATTAGCTTCAACCCCAAAAGTAAACTCCCTCCCCTATACATTATCTCCAATCTATCCCTATCTAATATTAATAAGAAACTGTGGGTTGACCTGCATTAATACATTTTTAATCTTTAACTAATTATTGGAATTTATATATATATATATATATATGGGTGATCACATGTGGCCATGTTGTTAGGTGTGATCATATGATTAATTATAGGCCGTTAGATTAGATAGATTTATAGATCTAATGAATCATATTAATCAATATTTTTTCTGTATTTTCGCGCACATTCTCCTACCCAGCGAATTGCAAGGGTAAACTCGTCATAAAACATCGGAATAGGAAAAATCACATTGTTGTGTATTTTATTACACTATTGGTGCATGTTGTCAACACTGTTGGTGTATTCTGAAACCCGACCACTATAAATGGCCACTGTAATTACCATAACACGGGAACATACTATTGGTGTGTTTTATTACACTATTGGTGTATGTTGTCAACACTATTGGTGTATTTTGAAACCCACCCACTATAAATGGTCATTGTAATTACCATAACACCCACAATTACCAAAGCGCGCAAAAATTATCAAAATTACTACTGCCGTTAGATTAAACTGATTCAACGACACAGATACGACCACACGACCACACCTAATGACATAACCACATATGAGCGCTATATATATATATATATATATATATATATATATATATATATATATATATATATATATATATATATATATATATATATATATATATATATATATATAGTCTTTTAAAAAATAAATACTCACATTTGACGGTGTATATGTTAAGTTTTGAGCTAATACGCTTGTGTTTTATTATTATTATTATTATTATTATTATTATTATTATTATTATTATTATTATTATTATTATTATTATTATTGCCTCTAAACCGTGAATTAAATATATTTTTTTTTAGACTAGTCCATTAATCTTGGGTTAAAATTGACATTTATGATTTCAAACATTACATTTATAATTGGATAGAGAGTTAATTACACTTTTAGTTCTTAAAATAAACTATAATATTTCAATTAGTCAATCAATTAGAGATGTGAGTCAAGTCACACCTAATTATGCACAAATGTGCCTATTTAGGTTTGGCATATTATAACAATTATTAGTTTCATCTTAAATTTTTGTACAAATTCTAATTACAAATATCTTTTGATTTACTAGAAAATTCGTAGGAGTTATTTGAATGTGTGTTCTATGTGAAGTTTGTTTTATGACTCTAACCGGCAAATGATCATTAGAGAAGGCTAATATGCCGCTCTCATAGAATTAATTTGAAACCTTATGATTACTAACTCAACTGCCTAACTAACTCGATTGTGGTTGCCTTTTAACTATATCTAAATTGATTGTACATATAGCATAAAAGCTTAAAGCACACCAAACGAACACATGCACGTATTTAATATAAGAGCATTCCTTTTTTTTTTTTTTTTTTTTTTTTTTTTTTGCATAGGTGGGGGAGAGAGAAGGGAAAAAATTTACTGCAAATGAAAGTTTTTTCGTGGGACTCATTGTCCCACACAAAATATGTCTGTTTTGCACAGGTGCGCGTCACATACACATCATTTCGAATTTTTAAATTCATATTTAAGCAATAAATAAATATTTAATTAACCTAGCACATGTTGGGTCAACAACATGATAGCGTCGCCCTCAGAGTTTAGCGTAGTTGGTTCATCGCCTAAATTAAAGGTCATAATCGGAGGCGCAGTGAGCGGAGATTGGATTTTTTGTGTGCACATGAAGATTAGAATCTGACCGATGGGTTGATTGTGCAACTCGCGATTTACCTCTGTAGTGGCTCTAAGAGCGGAGTCTTGTGGGTTTAGGATTAATCCAGCAAAGTTTGGATCATCTAAGTTTTTTTTTTAAAAAACATGATAGCGTTGCTAGAACGTGGTCCTGTGGACTTAGGATTAGTTCGCCAAAATTAGGATCACCTAAGTTTAAAAAAAAAAAAAAAAAAAAAAAAAAAAAAAAACTGATAGCATCATGCATACACAACGATATGATATATTAAGACGGCCGGATAGACACAAAAGAATGTGAAGGTGCAGCAAATTAATGGATTAAAGACCAACTATTTCGATCATGACGGTTCCAGAAATAACACATTCGATCAATTTTTTGAACTTTGGGTCTCCTAGTGACTTCATATCCTTTTTGATAACCACGTTTTAAGTTCAACTTTCAGTGGTAACCAACATTAAACTGATTTTGCCAATGCATATCAACTGTTGTTTATTCTCATTGTTACAAAAAATAATAATAATAATAATAATAATAATAATAATAATAATAATAAACGTTAAGCTCTGCTGCAAGTACAGACCCAACGTGTCAAGCTTTCATCGACCGCCGAACAATAGAACAATGATCTAACGACTTATGCAACCGTTGAGGCAGTTGTACGGTGTTCGTTTGCGCACGGGATCCTGGCTTCCTGTCTCAACTTCATCCCTGAATATTAAATAAAATGACATTAAATATAATGTAAATTGGGGTACCAGTCAAGGGTAAAGTTGGAATAATGGGTGTGATTTTTAAACGGTGGGATTTAATGCCCGGCAGTGGATTTGGTTGAACCGACGTAACAACCTCCTCCCACTTTCCTTCGTAGTTCACACTTCTTTCCTTTTCCCCGTAAATAAACGGGTTACGGGTATCACTACAACATTAAGGGCCGTTTGGTTCACAGAATGTTAAATTATCTTAGGGAATGTTAGATTCTTGAAAATGTTAAATTACTGAGATTTCTGTGTTTAGTTAAAATTAGGAATAAGGTTCAAATTGGCCACTGAACGTAACCTGAAAATGCAATTAGGCCACTGAACGAAGAAAAAGTGCAATTAGACCACTGAACACTCCAAAAATATGCAATTAGGCCACTGGACACTCCAAATGTATGCAATTTCACCGGATAGCAGGTTACCATCAATTTTAGCATGTTACTTGCTGACGTGGCAGTTGAGTTGGCATTTTAAATACTTTTTAATAAATTTTAATAATAAATTTCTTTTTTAAAAAAAATTAAAAGAAAATTTTAAAAAACGAAGGGGTTTATTTTTTTTATTTTTTATTTTTTATTTAATTTGTTTTTATAAATTTATTATTAAAATTTATTTAAAAATTATTAAAAATGCCAACTCAGCTGCCACGTAAGCATGTAACCTGCTAAAATTGATGGTAACCTGCTATCCGGTGAAATTGCATACATTTAGAGTGTTCAGTGGCCTAATTGCACTTTTTTTTAGTTCAGTGGCCTAATTGCATTTTCAGGTTACGTTCAGTGGCCAATTTGAACCTTATTCCATTAAATTATGTAATATAATCATGTTTGATTTAGGATTATCTTTTATATATATATATATATATATATTAACATATTTTTTATATATTTTAATAAATTTAAAAATTAAATTAAATAAATAAGATAACGGTATTATATATAATTACATCATTTTAAAATATTAACTAAAATCTTGAATTTGAGAAACAAAATTATTTTATATGCTAACATAACGTAATAAAAAATATATAATATAATTACAAAAATAATTTTATATACATATATATATATATATATATATATATATATATATATATATATATATATATATATATATATAATTAGAATTAAAATGACAAAAATTATAAATATCCAAGGTTATTTTTCATTACCTAACAAAATGAAGGGAATCACATTCCCTTCAAAATCCTATGTGGAGGGAATGTTGTATTTCCTTGGAATGTTATATTCCCTCAGAGAATATGAACCAAACATAAGAATGTAAGCTCGGGAATGTCACATTCCCTTGGTTATGTAATATAACCTGAATCAAACGCCCCCAAAATTCCTTTGTATTTTCCCAATTTCTTATATATATATATATATATATCAAATGTGACTTAAAAGTAAATTTTAAGTGAAATTTTTAATTCACTAGGTTAATTTTTTGGAGTGTTAGTTAACATGATATTTTCTTCGTTATATTATGTGTTTTTTTTTCGAATGCCATTATATTATGTGTCTAGTTTAGTTAATCTGACTTGACTCAAGTTATTTAGAATTTAATTTATTTTATAATATTTAGTTTGATTTAATTTGATATTAGTATATAAAATTTATATATTTAAAAATTATAATAAAAATATTATTAAATAAACATAAAAAATTGATAATTATAAGCAAACATTAAAAGGAAAAATTAGTTTGACCCGTGAAAGGTAAAATGATACTCCGTATTATTGAGTGAGTATTATGTGATTGATAAAATATATTGTATTGTTTCAGAAATTTAATGAAGTACTCAATTAGATATATTAAATTAAAAAGTAATAGTGTCTTGTCTTATAATACAAGGGAATTTTTTAATAGCAACCATAATAATGTATACGTATGTGTGTATATAAGTTACCTAAAGCCATTTTTCTCATTTTCGGTTTTCTAAAAGCCTGCCTACTGGATTTAATCTACTGTTCCTCTCACGTTCCTTCCTCTGTCTTCACTTTCTCTCTCTAGCTCATCGGAAAACGTCTCGTTTTCGCCGGAAAACCGCCATCGTCGTCAGCTAACAGCTTTGCCGGAGAATTTTTCGCGCATTTAATACCTTGTTTGCCTTTCGGATTTGTTTCTCTCGTTGGTGAGAGAGTTAGCAGACTTCGACGCTAGAATCGTTCTGATCTTCGAGTTTGGCTCGGTTTGCGCTGTTTCGAGAGAATGTGGCGAGCCTAAGGCCTTGTTTGTGGATTTTATCGCCCTAGATCGTGATCTAGGGCTCTGTCTGTATTGTTTCTTTTTTTTGCTTGTTTCTTTTGGGGCTGGTTTTTCGGCGACGAGTGAGCTAAGACGGAGTTGAGTATAGAACAGCTTCGGAATGAGATGGTATGTGTCTAGTTAAATGTATGAATATATAAGGTGTTTTAGTTTTTCTTCATTTATTTTTCTTAGTAGTTCATGGAATTCGCGGAATTTTGGATCTCCAGAGTTCGTTTAAATGTTTAATCCTACTGAAATTCATGGATTTATTTTGCAAAGCGGACCTCTCGTTGAAACGTTTACCCCTAACATGTAATACACATACTTCTTCGCATCTAATGCATTTTATATCTTAGTTAATTTTGTTAACTAAATTTTTCGGGAGTAATTATACCATAGGCTAATTAATTTATGATTTCCAGTCTCATATTTTTTCTGTTGTATTTTGTGATTTTTTAATTTTTTATTTAATGTTTATGGTTGCCTATATTGTGTATATACCTTATTAGGTTTATAGAAACTGCCATATTCTATGTCGGATGCTGGTCAAATGGTTATAATTTCTTTCTTTTACTGGCTTTTTGTGTGCGGCTGTGTTGGGAGTTGGTCTGCTGCTTTGATGTTTTATATTCCCGTTTATATTTGCCAGTTTTCCACTTTTCCTCTAGTTTAAACAGGTCAATTTTGTTCTCTATCCAGTTTGTTGCTTTGATTCTGGTTATTGAATCTACTTGGATAAAGTTGGAGTTTCAATTGAGCAATAAGTAGAAGGTGATTTTCAGGCTCTTGAGGTCTTCATCCTTACTGGTTGCAATGCATAAGTTGATTACCTACTCTGATGTATCGCTCTCAGTTAACGCAATTTTATGTTATGGACAAAATAAATCCTCTATGTCCTCAATTAATATCTTTCTCAACCTTTTACTGCTCACAACTTTTAGGAAGCCACATTGGGTGCACATTATCTATGTGAAGCTGCATGCATCTGAACTCTCTGTATATCTCATTGCATATTGAGGCTCACTGTTTAGACGTTTAGTAATAACTCTGAAGTTGTGATAGATACAAGCCTGTTGCATGTGATGTTTGGCAATTTCTGTTGTTGATTTTTCAAGGCTGACAGCAACTCCTAAAATTCTGGCATGGAGAATCTGAACATGGTTTAGTCCTTAACAGGCGTTGATACACAATTCATAAAATTCTGGCATGGAGAATCTGAAATTGTTTAGTCCTAAACAGGCATTGATGCACTATAATGCACTTTGCTATAATAACATTTTCAGAATAGTTGCATATCCCTTTGGTTGTGTTGAATTACTTGAATAATAGGAAACCTTAGTCATATTCATAGTAGAAGTAGGCTAAGTTTCCTATTCCTAGTAGGATTGGTTTAGCCCTGATGTTTCTATAAGAACTAATGACCGTTTTGGTCCCTCAACAATGTTGTAATTACCAAATTGGTCCTTGGCTATCAATTTTGACCAATTAAATCCTCAACTATTGATTTTGTAACTGATTCGATCCTCTATCAAACTGATTGATGACCAATTTGGTAATTAAGGAGGATCAAATCGGTTACGAAATCAATAGTTGAGGACTTAATTGGTCAAATTGATAGTCGATGACCAATTTGGTAATTACGACATAGTCAAGGGACCTAAACGGTCATTAATTCTTTCTATAAATATAGGATCTTTATACAATTTAATAGAGACAATCTATTATAATCTTTCATTATAATGTTTCCTTTCTATTCCTTCTTTCTTTGGTTTCTATCATATTTTGCTTCCGTTTAACTGGCATGTGGTGGCTATTCGCCACTTGGCAGGCTTCTCAATCCCTCAATTTCAACAGGTTGCTTTTGTTATGGAGTGGTTTTTAAAGAATTCTTGTCTTGTATCAACTTCCTTTGATTCTATATAAAATTTCAAGTTAGTGTCAGAGTAATGATTTATCAACATTGTTTTTGCATGGTTAAAATGTTTGATTCATTTGGAATCTTTTCTTCTATGGCAGGTGGAAGGAAAAGTTTGCATGTCAAGGGAAGTTAAATTGGAATTCTTGAAGCGGAAAAGGCTTCAACGTATGAAGTCAGAATCAATGAATGATTTTGCATGTTCTGGCAACATGATGAGCAGAAGTGGAGGAGATGCTCTAAGAGCACATGCAACTTGTGGTGTGAGAATTCCTGGTAGCTTAGACACATATCCACAGTCTGCTGCAATGTTAAATGGAAAAGATGCTTTCTCAAAACACAGGGTTTCAAAGTTTGAAACATCAAATCTTGATTGGATTGACAAGATTCCGGAATGTCCAATATATTATCCAAAGAAGGAGGAGTTTGAGGATCCTTTAGTTTATCTGCAAAAGATTGCTCCAGAAGCTTCCAAATATGGTAATGCCTCTGATAATAATCTGTTAGAGTCAATAAATTATATATTCATATTATATTTATTCTACTTGTAAAACAAAAGCTTGTGTACACACACACACATTTAGATAACAGGTGCTGCCATTCAAATGCTATACTTTGTATAAAGCAATTTAATAAATAATACTCCTACCGCCCCCATTCAGTTTTGGATAACATTTTAAAGGTTCTCTCTTTAAGATTTCTATTCTTTTAATATTGTGTTGTAATATATAATTTTATTTTAAAAAATTGATTTTTTAACTGCAACTAAACTTAAAAATTTAGTCAACCTGACCAAATAAATGGGTAGGAGTGAGGAATTTTGTGGACAGAGGGAGTAGTCCCCCCCCCCCCCCCCCCCCTTTCCCTTTCCATTTCCTTTTTCTTGTCAACTAATACATGTGTACTATCTAACTTAAATTTCAGGTATATGCAAAATTGTGTCTCCCATTACTGCTTCTGTTCCTGCTGGTGTAGTTTTAATGAAAGAGAAATCCGGTTTCAAGTTTACAACTAGAGTGCAACCACTTCGGTTAGCTGAATGGGATATGGAGGACAAGGTCACTTTTTTTATGAGTGGAAGGTTAGCCTCTTTATCATATTTACGCAACCTCAGTTGAGTTATTGTTTGGGTGTTAAAGAAGTGTGATTTTTCAGAAACTATTCATTTCGAGATTTCGAGAAAATGGCAAACAAGATTTATGCTCGAAAGTATTGTAGTGCTGGATGCCTTCCTCCATCATACTTGGAAAAAGAATTTTGGCATGAAATAGCTTGTGGAAACACTGAGAGTGTTGAATATGCTTGCGATGTTGATGGTAGCGCCTTTTCATCTTCTCCAAATGATCAGCTTGGAAAAAGCAGATGGAACCTTAAGGTGCTGATCTCATAACAAGCTTCCAATTTACATTGCAAAATTTATGTGGGTTTATTTTCTAAATGTTTAGTAATCTATTTAAAATGAGGGTTAATAAATACTCTGATTGTATTTATTTATTATCTATTCCCAATTTCACCGACTTCTTTGCTACTTGCTAACTTACTTTTTCTTTTTCAATGTAATTTCTGATTTTGAAAGTGGTGTTAGTGTTTCTCTTTTTCTTACTATGATTTTGCAATCATGATTTAATCATTGGTTGATATGTTTCCTGGTTTTATGTGTGAATAGAAATTTTTTTTCAGACTAGATCTCTTATTTTGGTTGTTATTATTATTTTCTCCCTCTCTCCTCTTGCACAGTAAAGATTTGTTTTCTCTTAATTTTATCTTCCCTATTGACCAGCATTTTTCCTTGGTTTTTTGGGTGGGGTGGGGGACATTGGGGTTGTAAGAGTTGTGGTTAGGAATAGTATGTCCTGTCAACACTCCCCATTTCATTGTGCTCTTCATGGTGACCCCCTTTCCTTATTTCAATGTCATCTTCTTTTCTTACAAATTTTAATAAGATTGTAATTTCTGCTGCAGAGAGTCTCTTGGCTACCTAAATCCATATTGAGACTTCTTGGAAAAACAATTCCGGTAAGGAAATAATTCGCATATTCTCTTTATTGTTTTCTCAATTTGAAGGTACTCTCTCTGGTGTTCTAAATGTTATAATTTGTTCTCTAGGGAGTTACTGAACCAATGCTTTACATTGGAATGCTATTTAGTATGTTTGCATGGCATGTTGAAGACCATTTCTTGTACAGGTAAATGTTCATCTTATTGACGTGAGCACATTGGTAACATTTATATTCTGACTGATCATTCTGTTTTCCCATGTATAGTATAAATTATCACCACTGTGGGGCTACAAAAACTTGGTATGGAATTCCTGGTCAGGCAGCACTTGATTTTGAGATGGTTGTCCAGAAGCACGTATACACCAATGACATTTTATCAGTTGACGGAGAGGATGGAGCTTTTGATGTCCTTTTGGGGAAGACAACATTGTTTCCTCCTAATATCTTGTTAGAACATGATGTTCCCGTCTACAAAGCTGTGCAAAATCCCGGTGAATTTGTTGTGACATTCCCTCGAGCATATCATGCAGGGTTTAGTCATGGTAAGATTTAAATTGTGTTTACAATTGATAATATCTAGCATAATATAAAGTTCCATGTTTTGTTCCTCTAGAATCTAGATGACTATTCACACATGGTGCAGCAGTTTTTAATTTTTTAATGTTTTACAAATTTTTTAGGTTTTAACTGTGGTGAGGCTGTGAACTTTGCAATTGGTGATTGGTTTCCTGTGGGTTCAATTGCTTGCCATCGTTATGCCCTTCTTAATAGGGTTCCCCTCCTTCCTTATGAGGAGCTTCTCTGCAAAGAAGCAATGCTTCTATCTAGGAGTTTGGAACTTGAAGATCATGAGTATGTAATGGAAGAAATGAAGTCTCACCTCAACATAAAAGCATCTTTTGTAAATTTGATACGGTTTCATCACTTTGCCCGGTGGTGCCTCATGAGAGTAAAAGCATGTACAGAGATATGTTTAGTTTCCCATGGTACCATTCTTTGTAGCATATGCAAACGTGACTGTTACATGGCATACATTAATTGCTCCTGTTCATCACATGCAGTCTGCCTTCGCCATGGTATGTGCAAACTGAACCTTCCTCGCCCCCCTCCCCCTGTCTTTTATACTTAGACTAGAGATTTTTTGGACCTAATGCTTAGTTCTGCGCTGTGTCAGATCCTTGGTCACTTGAGCTACCATGTGGCAGCAATAGAACCCTTTGTTTAAGAGAAGATATTTTGGACATGGAAGATGCAGCTAAGAAGTTTGAGCATGAGGAAGTGGTGTTGTATGAGGTTCAAAAACTTCACAAAAAGAGTGAGGATTTTTATATCCTTTCAAACTTGTTTCCGAAGGTAGAGGACAATGATTATATCCCTTACTGTGACTTGAATCTTGAATTGCCTGGGGAAACAGAGAGTGAGTTAGAAAGGACAGTTTGCAAGACTCTGTTGAGTATGGACACAGGAGCTTCTGTTTCTGAAACTCCAGTTCCTAATTCTTCTGATCATTTTTTAAGTGCCCATACGGAAGTACAGAGCTCAGAGACTAGACATATAGTAGATCAAGATGACGATGATGAATCTGATACAGAAATATTCAGGGTAAAGAGACGATCTAGATTGTTGCATAGAAGTCCTCATGATACCGTTTCTTTCAGTAATGAGCACCAGGTACACATTACCTGATTCTAGCTATTTTACATTAAAAATTGTTTCCCTTATCAGTATGTTAAACCATAGATGGATGTTGACTTCCTTGGGCAGATTATATAACTCTTCCTTCGATTTGGAAATTGCAATCTGTTCCAAGTCCATATTTTGTTTGCTCTCTTAATGGAATAGTAGTCAATCAGGAGAAGTAATCCAATGTATTTTATCTTGCAGGGATTCAAACGGCTAAAGAAGCATCTATCAGATGGACGCTCTGGGAAATTTAATACTACACAGTGTTCTCTTGCTGATGGCAGAAGTTACACTTCAAGCGCCATTCCTAATCACTCCAAGGAAGATCCGTACTCTGCTCTGAGAGACAGACCACACAAAGGTAGTGTAATACCCATTTCAATGAAGTGCAAGAAGTTGGCAAACGAGGAACCAATGGTGAAGCATAAGAAAGATGACAGTATCCAGCATGGGTCAGGGAGAACTGTTAGGGAACCATTACCCACAGAGACAGGGCCAAAGCGACTGAAAGTCCGAGGTCCATCAATCTTAGGAAGAATGAGCTGAGTGAACCTGACTTTTGCCTAACGCATTTGCTAATGGGGATCTAACAAAATGGTAAAGGCTAAAATTATAATCTGGACAGCAGCAGCACAACTTTTAACCAAAACTTAGGTTAAAGACAGATATTCTTTGTGCAGGCCTCTAAAGTGGGGCAATTTGCATGCTGGTGATTCTTATAGTGTTGTCGGGCTGAGGTGTTTTTTCCGTATTTCACAGGAGAACCCCTTTGTCCTTCCCAGTAGCTGAACTTAGATTTTGGGTTAACAACTTTTGATGTACATTTCCTTGACAATTCTGATTCATTCTTGTGGGGGGTAAGGTAGGGTTACTTCCCCACCAGCCCTTGATTTGACATCATGTACTCGTGTCTGCTGCCTCTCTCTTGGAAGTGTTTTCATTACTCATCCCTCTAACTACTAAAATAAATTTAAAAAAAAAAAGAAATTCTTTCTCCGTATTTCTTTAAGGAACCAATACTGAAAAAAATATGAGAAACAAAATGGCTGAGTCGAAGCATGTTCCTTCACATTAACGAAAGGCAAACTAGTATTTAATTTTGACATATGTAATGTAACTGCAATTCAAGGAAAAGAGTTTGGTATATTTTCATGATTATACTACTCATACAGATAACAAAAGCCACCCTTCTCAACAACCTGAACACAAGGAACCTCTTCAGTTTCCGGGCTCTGGTTTCACTGTAGTGACCAATTCACCAGGTGGCTGAAGCATCATCTGTCATAAAGCAAGGAAACATGCAGTAATAAGATAATATACTTAAACAATCAATGAATCTGGGAATTGACAAACACAACCCTAATATTCCAACGTTGAGACTAAAGAGTAGAGTGCTTCCAGCCTATATAATCTCTGGATGATCTACCAGGAAGTCCTCTTTTATTAGACCATGTGAACCAGCCTTTTAATCTTTGATTCTCAATTGAAAGTAGAAAAAAAAATCATTTTGTATATAGAAAGCAGGTTTTTTTAATAGACCGGTACAAATCTCACCTTGCCCTGAAGACTTGTTATTGTGTTCCTCAATAAGGTATCTCCAACAGTCAACCTCAGCTTTCTGATCAAATCATCCCGGCTAATCTTTTTACTCTGGAAATGTCACAAAAATGAAGACGCAGGTAGATATACAAACTTCAAGAGAAATAGGTGAAGGCCCAAATTACACTCCAATGTAATTGTATGCACACACCTTGAATAACTCATAACTGCTATTAATTCTTCCCATTTTCTCTGGATCAACTTCCTTGGAGATAGCATCAAACAATGTGGGGAATGGCATCCAAGGGGACCTTGGGATCCTAGGAAGAACCCTTCCTTGATGATTTTGTAGTAAAATTTGACGGTTGTTGTTTGCCTAAAAATTTACACAAGTAATTCTATCAAATATCAACTTCAAAACTCAGTGACGCCTGTACAATGTTACAATGAAATACCAAGCCTAATACATTAGGAAGGTTGACTGAACAAATATAAGTGAACTAGCCAGAGATGCATTGAACCAAAATCATTAAAACCGTGCTCGCTCACTAGACACTAAAGTCAAAGAGCTGGTACCCACATAGAACATTATGTGTTGTACTTGCTACTTGCTAGAATGAATAAAGCAAATGACAAGTATGTTTATAGAACTTAAAATTGGGAAATGCGTGGTACTGTGGTAGTACTAATTTTGTAGGACTCTGCACTATATGCCACCGTATGCACTTCTGAGAAATGCAATCAAGTTTTATGAAATAATATTTCACAAGGCATCTTACAGCACAGAAAAAAAAAAAAAATTGAAAACAAGGGAAATGTCTATTTGAAAATGTGGATCAAGGTCAACTATACTCTTTCCAACTTAAGATTGAATTTTAAGAAGGGCATGTTTTCCATTTATGCAACTTTGGGACACCCAAAAATGAATGTAAGTTACGTAGGAATATCATGAGTAACAAAGTATACTTCATGTAGTGCAAAAAAAACAGATGAAGAAACCAATTAAAGACTCCAACACTCAAAAACAGATTCTCCTTTCTAACTTTTGTAACACTTTTAAAACCTCAATCCTTGTAAATACTAGCCTGAGACTGGGTGCACGACTTCAATGATTGAAGACTTCTCTATTAGCATAAAAGCAGAGAAAACCAAAACAGCTTGCCATTGTAGAAACAGCCATTGAGGTTCAATTATAAAAGACCAATGCTGGCAATGCCTACTTGAACCGTTTTCTACTTAGAAGTTAATTTCCTACAGCAAAGAGAACATGCCAAAAAAGAAGAAAAAGAAAAAAAGGAACACCATTCTGCCTGAGGAAATGAATAGATTTCAACATTTAGCAACCTTCTTGTGCTTCATCCACATGCAGAAGAAAAATCTATTCTCACCATTCACACTTAATCCAGCAGATTGGATTTGTAGGAAAACAAATACCTGAATATGGCTTCTTAAAATGTAGATATCAGAATACTATTCAAATGTTAGCATCCTGCTTCAGTCATATAATACATGTAATGATGATGGCATCAGGGGAATATAAAACAAACCCAAGAAAAGAGAAAAGGGAAATGAAGTATAGCTATTTTAGTTAGAACACTCACCGGCCACGCTGGAGAGGAGTCCGAGCGTACCTGATCTGAAGACACCTGACAACAAGTACTAACCCCTGAAACCCCTGAAATATCATTCAGGTTCTCACTTTCAACCAGAGCTCCTGTCATGAAAACACAGTAAATGCCAAGTGTTAGATGTGTTCACTTTCAGAATAAGTCAATAAGAGTATTTTTACTTTGAAGTAATGCTTGCAAACTACTTTTAACGACATAAGATCAAAAGCATGCAACATTTCTGGGTGCAACAAGAGAGAGTCATAAGTCGAAACATTAAGAATAGCAGATTAAATTATCACCTTCAGCTTCAGAAGAAAACTTGAAACTAACAGCATATTCTGGATAGATATGAGTGTTCATGTTCATACTCCAAACTATGTAATGCTTTGGATTTTGACAATCATCTACACCATTATCAAAAGCCTCATTGCTGGGATGGAACTGCTTAGATACAAGATGAACTGGCTCCATATTTCCCATAATGACTCGGCACAATATCATGTGTCGTACACCATTTTCGTCAACATCACAGTAGTTTGCACTAGAGAGGAAAAGGCAAAACAAAAGTAGTAGCTAATTATTATGAAACATAAATAGAAACCAATTTTTTTTATTTAATGAAAAAAAAAAACCGACAGAATGATAAAATTGTCGTGTCGCAAAAATGTGCAAAAACAATCCGATAAAATTTAAAGCTCTAATTATAAGGGTAAGATTTTTATTTTTTCTTGAAAAGTTCAACAACAAATGAAGAGAGCAAAACAACATTTACCTGATCTCAGTATGATCAATAGCAACTAGATGAACTCCATAGCAATACGGAGATTTCATTTGGATAGTATCACAACTAACAAGGCCATATTTCATTATCCTAGAAAGCACACTTTTAGAAGAAGGAAGCCACGCAAATCGGATATTGGCATCCCCATGCAGTTTTTTCACGATTTCAGCCTGCTTCAGAAAAAGTTCCGATCTACCTTTCATGAAAATGCTTAAGCCACGGTATATATCAATTATATCTGCATGTGCAGATGGCTTAACGCCTGAAAAAAACATTTTCCTCACTGAATCAGACTCCAGATAGCCCAAAGGGGTACCCAAAATTGTTGCTTTTTCCTCTCTCTGTTCATTTTCAGCAGAACCCTCATCACATTTTGCAGCTGAAGAGCCAACATAATGATCAATATTTTCCATATTAGAATCTTTTACCTCAGGTTCAAGATCACCGTTAACTAGTCTAACAATAGTATTGGATTCCCCACACGATTCCTCTGGCTTTGAGATATTTGATCCATTTACTTCAATCTTAATTTTCAGCTTCATATCATTGGAGACTAGATTATCTAAATTTACCTCAATGTAATTGTTCCCATTTTTAGTTTCATAGTATTCATCCACTTCATCACAGTCTGTAAAATTTTCAGGGAAAAAACGGTTCCCAGCTTCATCAATCCATGCAATTGGTTGCTGTGAACCTGTCTTCAAGTCCACCAGCATTACAGAGACAAAGTCAAGCACACAAATTCTACCAAAAAAGTCTACCTCTATAACTGATTTCTCCATCTGCAAATCTTTTCTAACGATTGCAAGAATATCCTCAGGAAAGTCAGTCCATTCATCATTTTGATAATACATCAAACGTTTTGGAGGTCCACTTCTCTTTAAATTCAGATAATGTTGAACCATAGGTTTCCTGATGTGAAAACCACATTTGCCTTCGACTCCATTCAGCTTTCTTCGCTTGCCAAGCTTGTCTGTGCAAGAATTAGGAGGAGAGCTATTTGGTAGCAATAAGCAGGTAGTTCCATTACTAAATGTCTCATCAGATTGAGCCTCCCATTTTCTTTTCAAATCAACATCATAATGCCTATCCAATTCCCTTCCTAAGTTTACATCCATTTCTTCCTAGAGAGTGAAACCCTATCAACAACTTCAAATCGAAGATTTCAAAGATAACTCTATACAACAACTCAATCTTAGTTTTGCCTCATAGAGACCGTTCCATTTACAAAATCTGCATACCCTGAACAGTCAAAGATGCATAAAATCAATATAATTGAACATGTGTAATGAACTAAGTGAAAAACCAGTATACAAATTTCATTCCATGCAGTACCAAAGGGACATCACTCCATCGGATACATGAAGCATATACCGCATAAAGTAAACATCAATTGAACACACAAAAATAAGCACAATAGAGCACAAGTTAGTCAACAAAATACAATTTGCATATTCTACACAATTTTAAACACCTTTCCTGGAGAACACACATTAATCACCACCACACAACACAGCAAAACAAAACAAAATTAAAAAAAAAAAATAGTAAATAGTTTAGCCTGTTCCAAAATGATCGAGTTAAAAATCATAACAACTAAACAATTTCAAATAAAAAATTCTCTTGAATTTCCTCAAAAACATAATCCAAAAATTCTAGCAAAGCAAAATACACTTTGCAGAAGTTACATGATTTCAATTTCCAGAAAAACACAGAAATCACCACCACACGTATACATTTATAATTTAGGAACAAAAACAGAGTAACACAAACAGAAAAAATTTAGTTTAGCCTGTTCCAAAATGATCGAGTTAGAAATCATAAAAACTAAACAGATCACGATAGTCAACTACGTAAGAAACTACAAAATTCAAATAAAAAATTCTCTGAACCTTCCTCAAAAACATAAACCAAAAATTCTAACAAAGACACAACAAAATCAAACAAACGCAGTAAAAGCCGAGATCGAG